CCAGTTATGCTTTTAAAGTTTTCTTCAATGCAGATGTGTCTATTACTAGTACTTGCGAGGTCCCTCGGAAGCAGTACTCATTTACTAACAAGTAATTTCCTCTGCAGTTTAGAGACATTCGCAATCTAATTACTGGGTATAATTAAGGCAATTTTTCTGGAACTCCATCTCTCACCAAGATTTGAAAAACTCAGTCTAAAGCCTTAATTCAAGAGTTGGTACGGTGATGAATGCTATTTAAAGATCCTTGGCTGAATGTATTGCTCTCAAGAGGCTTTTTCATTACTCAGTTCCTATTAAATCCATCTTCATTTTCGCAGTCACACTTCAAGGGGTAGTTTTCAGTTTGAGGATCCACCTTTTCACATCGTGTAATTCATGCTGGTGTGTACGTACCTGATTGATGGAAAGGTAGCTGTTTAACTGCCCCCGTCTTTCCCTCTCTTCCAAGCCTCGATTTTCAGGAAATTGTCCACTTGTCGCCATTTCAACAAACATGATCATTTCTGCAAATTGTTTTGAAGCTTTTAATTTCTTGCCGACATGGCTGCACCTGCTCTCGATGCCTACGGAGTCTTCATCACCGTTTTAATGGAAAGCATTAATCGGCGCCGAGGAGGAGAGGGAGGAGGGTGGAAGCAAATAGAATTTCGATGTGGAAATTTACAAGCTCTTGGACGCGAACCCACCGACATCACATACGTATGACACGAGGGTTTGCTGAGTCTGTGATAACCGACCACAGTGCATTGCTAAAATCAGACAAGACGTTAAAAAGACTGTTCCATTTTTGGATACATTTGTCTCAGAGCCAATTCTCTGTAGCCTTTTGTTTTGAGAGTTTTTTTAAAGGACTTTTCAATCATTCTCCCTACTTTGATTGCCTTGGTAGGCGGCTTTATTAATTCTAACTCGTCCCTCCGACGCATTTCTTTCCGAAACTCCTTTTCCCCATTGTAGTTCGCGCGCAAATTTTGCCCTTGTCTTACACTTTGGATGGGAATCGGGTGCTCAAGTTGAAGTAATTCAATTCCATTCTCGCGACAACGAGTTTAGCTATCTTGTTTTCTGCATTCCTTTTTAGCTCCTCGTGGACCAATCGCATCCCAGTGACACTCGATCCTCATATTCTGTCGACTGTATAGCAACTAGTGGAATATAGATCCTCCTTTTGTACACTGCGTTTTCTCCTTTCTATCTTAACAGTAAAGAGAGTCCATTGCAGTCTTTGTTATGCAATTTGGAAAGCACTCCGTCCATACGATGTCTGCTTTATGATATTACTTCATAAAATTGGCAGAATTTCAGTATTCATGCTTGTTTATCTCCCCACTTCCTTTCTTCGGCAGAATTGTGAGATGACAATTGAGGAGATATCGAAGTCTTCCAAACGGCACAAAGAATTGCCGAAGTTTAGTGAAGACGGTCAGGCCACTGGAAAAGGCAGCCAATCCTCAGGTCAAAAGCGGCGAGCCAAATTTACGGAACAGAGTAATTCACGTAAGGTTTTCTCTTTCAATTAACTACCTTTGTGCGGTTGGTTATGGTGGAAAAATTTATCCACCTTATTACCCTCTCCCCTCGAGGTGTACACTCGATGCGATTCCAATTTTCCCAAAATGGAGGAGAGGAAGGAGTGAATCTGACCCTATTTTACATGTGGCCATGTAGTGTTTTAACTCTGCTATCAAGAGGGGATGAATTAGAATGGCTATGTGAATGCACTGTGGCACCACTTTCATCTTCCACCACCCTCACGAACGTTCAAATACCTTCGCGCTTAAGTCTCATATCGGTCTACTTCCAACAGATAGACTGATTCAAAATCTTTCTCTCAAAGCTATCCTATTTATGCGCTTTTGAAGAGTGCCAAATCAAGCGGACGGGCGAAGTTATAGGCTATGGGATCTCAAGTGGATGAACAATTTTCTTTCCAACACATTTCACACATTCTCAAACAACCGTACAAGCTCAAATGCATCATCTCATTTCAAACTCTAAAATGGGCTGAACTGGATGATGACGCGGCCGACGCTTTGGCCGCAATGCCCACCACTTCGTACTGCGCGATGTACGAGTTGGATCAACTCGCTTGGTGGCTCGCACTTGGTGCGACCCAACATGCGTACTCATCGCTAGGCCAGAGGAAGGGGCCTTCTCTTCTCGGTGCATGCTGGTTTTCTTGGACCGGGTTATCATCTCAACTGAGTATAATAAGCTATTTCTAGAAATGGATGGCATTCATTTATCAGGACGAATGACCCTTTGATGCGAGTGTGGAGTGCTGTACTGACACACCGTCTTTGTCATCCACTCCACAGCGGTACATCCAAGCAAGTTATTGCTGTTGTATGGCGTAACTACACCAAGGTGTACCAGTGGTGGCGAGTACTGCTGTGGTCAACAAATGTCTGTCTTATTTTTATGTCTTTGTGGCTTACTTTCAAAGCTCCAGTCCATAATTCTTTCCTACCGCTCAATCTGCAGTGAATCATGAATACTAATTGGGGGGGTGCTTTGCGTTCATTCTTCCAGAAGTTGACGCTTCCAAATCTCCGAAGAAGCGGAAAAAGTCTCTGGAAGTTGCAACAGACTCAGTTCAGGAGGGGCAAGAGGTTTTAAAGTGGAGGCCGAAAGCTGAGAGTGCCTTTGAAGAGCCAAGTATGTTTTTATTGCTTGTTGATAGATTGGAATGGATCTTGGAAATTTTTGCTGTATTTAAAATGCACTTTTTATGCGTACAATAACTTTCGTTCAAAAAGTTTAATCTGAAAGTCATTTTAGCTCAAATTCGACACATGCTCTGGCATTACACTTACAAACTTGATGATTTCTTTGAAGTAAAATTTACCACGATTTTGCCCCTAGAGAAAATATCCGCGGTGGTAGGAAAGCTCAAATTGCCAAAAAAGTCGGTGAAATTCGCTGATGAATTGGTCACTTCAAACAGTCAATCTAAGCACAAACCGATAGTTTCAATCTTGAAGGTGTCGTCTCCCTTTACAAAGGCCTTGAGTGAAAGTTCAGGTGAGATCAGGTTGCACTTTTGTATTTGCCACGGCATCGTTAATGAAACATCATGAGCATACTCCACGTAACTTCCAAGTTGATCCTCCTTCTGTAGAAGTCGAAAAGACGAATGACGCAGATGTAAAGGGTGCCAAAACGAAGTCAAAAAAGCCTAGAAAATCAAAAAACGCTCTCAAACGCATTAAGTGGGTGAAACGACATCGCAAGAAAATCCTCTCCAGGCGCAAAAGACGCGCCAACCGGGAGTTGGCTCGCTCTCGACCTCAACGCGATGTACAACAGCATTTGGCAGAGGCGGTGGAGTATTTAAACGCCTGGTACTCAAGTCCAGAGACGTGGAAATACAAGAAGGTCGCACAATTAACTCTCATCAAGCATGCCTTCAATCCCGCTCTTGTGAGTTTTCCTTAGTTGATTTTATCAGCTCATGTCCGAAGGGTTGCAATCAGTCTTTTGATTTACTATAAAATATCCATTCAGTCCGACGGATGCCAATCCAAAATCGTGTGCATAATCAGTCTTAATCCGTTTCCAAAGCTTTGAAAAGTCCCATCTAGATTTCTTTGTAACTTGAGACAGTAGAATGTTATAGTGGTTTAGGCGGTATACTTTGAAAAGGAAGACTTTCTCTCCTCATCTTTGATACGCTGCTAAGGGGAGAAGTTGGCCGCTACTCCTGTGAATTCTATTCTCATGATTACTTCAGCGGTAAATTATTGATACATTGTTAATACTTTGTTCGTTATTTGTGTCACCTAGGCTCAAGAACGCAGTGTGCAGTTTATACCGTTCGCAGAGCGAGTGACTTGTGATGCGAAGCGATTT